TTAGAGTGCCCCCTCTACAGGGTGAATAAAAAATTCTGAGATGGCTTGTGCTTCATGTCACTACAGATCCCATACCACTTTTTCTCTACAATACATATTACTGATCTGTGAATTTTTCCAAAGTTTTCTGAAGCCTTCCTTCAGTTGGTCTCATTTCTTAAGAGTCATGAATTTGATGAGTTTGAATGAGGTATTTTTGTGTGTGTCTTATCTTTACACTTTAAGAACTTCATGTTCTAGTCCCATATTCTAGTGTTTTTAATTTAGGGTACAAATTCATATTCACCATTCCTATACTATTCATAATTTCTAAAACTTTGATCAGATCTCCTCACAGTTAACCTTTGTTTTTTTTTTTTTTGAGGCTGAAGATAATTTATTCCAGTGTCTTCATAGCCTTACCTTGACTTTTTACCTTGTTGGCGAGTCTTAAAGTGTCATTGAGAAGATGCACACTAGTCTTACAGAGGCAGCAGAGCCAGGATTTCATTTAAAAAAAAAAAAAAAGCCAGATAATGCTTTCAAAAGCTCCCCTCCAAAGGTTATCTAGCATAGATGAGCATTTAGGGACATTTTAGCATATTGAGCTAAAGTCTTCAACATGCAATGCCTTTGTTAATGGGGTGACTCCAGCTGATGTGTATTTACATGGAAGGATAAATTTGCACGTTGTTATGCTTGCTTTTTTTTTTTAATTGTGATTTGCATGAAAGTTTATAGAGAAAATTCATTTTTCATACAGCACCTCACATACACTTTGTCTCATGACATTGACTACAATTTACCACAATGTAACAGCTTCCCTACTACTTCCTCCCCATAGTTACCTCTTCCCTGTGTCCTTTCCTTCATATACTCCTGCCCCTTGAGCTGTCACCCTGTGTGTTATGCTTGCTTTTAATGCTGCATGCTCGCTGAGGCAGAGGTGGCTGTCTCCACTTCTCAACTCTCCCCACTGCCCCACCAAAACAATAAAACCCTATTTAGTTACATTTGCTGAGGAAAGGGTGTGAATCAGAGCATCTCTTTGGACTAACATCTAAAATAAGTAGTTTCCTTATTACAACAGATGAACATACAAAATTTGGATTGATTATGTGTGACTATGCCAGACTATATAGTGTTTTATAGATGACTTGTACTTGAAATTTACAATAAGTGGTTTCTGAGGAAACTATAAAACAGATTTCGTCTAACAAGAGCCCCTTCTCCCCAACACTCTGTTCTTATGGTCAGCATTCTTTTGGTGTTTCTTTTCTGTCTTTTATATTTAGCAACTATAATTTCTGCACACTAGATTTGCATTTCCATTCCTCCCACACTGAATCAAGCAAATTGCTACTAACGTTCCACAGTTTTCTTCAAGAAAGGGCATTGGAAAATCTGGCATGAGGTAGGATGAGTATACATCCTTGAGTAAGTGTAACTTGTTTTTCAACCATTTTGTGGCTTATCTGAGCGAAGAAAAAGCTTTCATTTTTGAAAAGTAGAAGAAGAGCAGTATGGTACATACTCTAAATGGACTGTTTGAACTTCTCCTAAATTGAACTTGCAAGTACAGTATGTAAGTTACATGTGCAACCAAGTGCCTTGAATGGCTGTTTGCTATGTGCAGAGAACTGAGCAGGAATAGAGTATGAATCCTCAACCTTGAGCCTGTCACAGTTGGAGAAAGAAGATATTCAGCCAAGAAACAATTAGGGAAAAATGTGGGAGTATGTGTAGGCTACAAGAATGACAAGATAATAATGTGGAAATAGAGATGGAACCTTGTGTGGCCTTGAGGGATGCTGCAATGAAGAGCAGTTGAGTGTTAGCTGGAAGAAACAGCTCTTGTGGAGGTAAGAACCTCTGTGGTGGAATTCAAGCTGGTTAGATTGAGCTCTGGTGGCATAGTGGATAAGGCCTTCAGCGGCTAATCAGCAGGTCAGCAGTTCAAGCCCACCACCTGCTCTGCAGAAGGAAGATTGGGCAGTCTACTTCTGTAAACATTTACACCTGTGCAAACCCAACGGGGGTTGCTATAAGTTGTAATCAACTCAATGGCAGTGAGTTTTGATTTTTTAGATTGAGAGGGCAGATGAAAAATAAGACTAGCTCACAACAAAGGTGAGATTATGGGGATTTTGAGAGCCAGGCAGCAGACTTGATCTGGTGAGGCCACCATGAGGGCACAGTAGGTTCTTTAGCAGGAGTAATCAGACAAGAAAGTGAGCATAGTGGCTTAAGTTTGTGTGTGTGTGTGTGTGTGTGATTTGGGTGGAAGTTTCCATGCAACAGTTCATACACATTTTGTTTCATGACATTGATTGCAATCCCCATAATATAACAGCACTCTTCCACTTCCTCCCTGTGGTTACCTTTTCCCTGTATCCTTCTTGCCTTTGCATTCCTGCCCTCTGAGCTATCTCTATGCAAATACTGCCCTTCTGATCTTCCTTAGTTGGTTGGTCTAAGGCCTGTACCTACCTGGCGTTAATGTTCACCTTATATACCTGTCTGTTGTTTGGCTGGAGTGGCTGGTATACTTTTACATCAGTGAGCCTACTTACCCTCTGGAACTATTATATTAAGATATTCTGGGCACCTGCCTATGGAACAGGCTAATGGGACAGTCATTTTTTTATATTTAATTTTTAAACCATCTAACTGCAATAGTATGAAAGGACAGTTTAGATACAATCTGATGGCCATCTAGCTTTGTGAGGGTTGAGATGGGATTGTGGATGAGAGTGGAGAATATAATGAATAAGAGACTAATAAGAAAAGAGCCAGTAATTCAATGCAGGAGGTCCACTTCTAGGTATTTACTGATGAGAAATTAAAAAACATGTCCACATGAAGACATTTGCATGCAAATGTTCATAGCAGCTTTCTTAATAATAGCCAGAAACTGGAAACAATCCAAATACCTATCAAATTGAATGAGTAAACAAATTACAGTCTATCCATACAATGAAATACTACTCAGTAATAAAAAGGAACAAAGTATTGATTCATTCAACAACATGGATGAATCTTAAAGCATCATATTAAGTAAAAGAAGCTGTACACAAAGGACTATATATTATAATGAGTCCATTTTTATGACAGTTCAGAAAAAGAAAAACCACAGAGACAGAAAACAGAGTAGTGGTTGCTAAGGGTAGAAGAAAGAGATTGACTGCATAGAGGCTTGAGGGGACTTACTGTGGTGACAAACTACTGTATATTGATTATGGTTGTTATTACCCAGTGGTGTGTATATATCAGAATGTACCAAACTACTTGTTACAAGGGTAGATTTTATCGTATGAAAACTGTATCTCAGTAAGCCAAATGTAAAAAAAGTAAAGGGACATATAAAATCAGATTTGAGTGAGGGGGAAAAGGCCACCTAGATATTAACTCTGAAAGCATAATAGAGCTTTTGAGAGAGGTAGTGGAGTAGAGGAGTTGGTTAACTGGGAAGATGGGAGGTGATGTTATACTTGCGATAGCTTATGCTTTGGAGGGAGGTATTAGGCTCTAGGTTCAGTTGCTATGACAGATCTAAAATAACAGTGACTTAAACAAGAAAAAAAAAAGTTTATTTTTCTCACATGGAAATTCAAGCTAATAAGGGAATTCTTTTCTGCAGAGTTATCAGGGGCCCAGTTTCCTTCCATCTCATTGCTTTCTTTACCTGGAGTGCTACCCTCATCCCCTCGATCAAGTTGAGTTCACCACCACATCCACATTATAGCCATAGTAAGGGGTGGAAGGAAAGGGAAGACACACCTTTTCCCTTTGAGGATGTAGCCCAGAATTGCACAAATCACTGCCACTACTATCCCATTGACCAGACTTAGTCCTATTAGCACACGAAGCTGCAAAGAGTGCTGGGAAATGTAGTCTTTATTCTGAGTATCCATGTGCTTGGTTAAAAAATTGAAGTTCCATTACTATGATAGAGAAGCAAGAACAGGATACTAGGAGACATCTAGCAGTTGTAGCCATAAGGGACAGTGGCATAGCCAAATAGAAATTTCTAGTTAGCAGATGGAGATTCAGGGTTGAACAAGGAAGATAAAACTAAACAACCAGAACAAACAAAACTAAGAAAAAGATTTGTCAGCACCAGTCTGCTGAAACCATAAGCCTGAGCTTTTCTCTGGAGAAAAAGATTGTGTTAGTCTGGGTTGCCAGATAGGATTAGATATGCAAGAGAGAGTTGCAGGGGAATGACTAGGGCAATTGGGCAGCCCAGGAGAGTCTGAGAGAGCCATCAGACTGCAGTGCAGGTCTGACCCAAGGAGAAAGGGGAAGGACTGGTACAATTCTAAGTTTAGCAAGTCCACTGGAAAGTCCTAGAGCCAAAATCAGTTGTCAGAGGGGTCCCCAGGAATATCTCCCAGGAACACACTTACCTTAGCATTCTTGCCATCCTGCCATTGGCTATGAGCAACCTGTGCAAGGTGTCCCCAAGGGGCCGATGCAACAATGGATTTCAAAGCACAGCAGCTAGGGCCCTGCATTGGGAGAGGAGAGACCCCATTCTCATGGCCCCAACACAGTAAAGAGAGAAAAAAACATGGAAAGTGTATAGAAAAGATTGATATTTTGTGAATGAAAATAGTAAGTGGGTGAGAGGGGAAGAAAAGTTAGAGAAGAACTAGTGAGAGGAAGTAGTAACAAAAGAATTCTAGTAGGGGAGAATAACCTCAAACTGCTAGGACATATCATTTAACAGATTTCTCCTCAACCCCGTGACTGTTTTGTTGTTTGCTAAGCTAGAAAAATGATATTTATCAATTAATAACTTTATTATATCTCAGAAAGAAGAAAAATAGCCCATAGAAAAGAAGTCTCTATACCACATATGAGTACGGATGAGCACAATAAGAACAAAGAGTTGAAAATTTGAGAATATTCAGAAGTCCTTATACATGAGGCAGTGGTTTGGGCAGCAGCCATTGTCAGGGCTGAGATGACACTAGGACGTGGCATGGTGTATCCCTGGGTCTCTGAGACCCCACTGGTCAGCAGCAGGGCCTGCAGGGGCCTTCACAGCAAGGCTGAATGTGAGTGGTCAGGTGGATCCCGCTCAGTCCAGGTGTTGAGTGGCGGGAATTGAGCAGCGAGCAGGATGGCACATAAGCGTCTGGCTGACAGCTGGGTGGGCGGCGGCGGTCACAGCAGGTTGGCTGGAGGAGGCTGATCTCATGTAGACAGGTGCTGGGCAGGCAGACCCGACAGTGGCAGCATTTTTCAGAGGAACAGATGGTGGTGGCTGGGCCAGTGGGAACGCTGCAACAGCGCTGGCCAGAGATCCCGCAGCAGAACATGGGGCAGGAGTGGGACTGTAGTTTGGCTGAGAAGTCTCTTAGAGTCTGTGTCCTCTCCTTTGAGCCAGCTCTTATATACTCACCCCCTTGAGCGTCAACCCATTACCCAAGGGTTTTTTTTTTTTTTTTTTCCATTTTAGTTTATAGTAATCCCCATAAAAACATCTAATTCCTTAGGTGTTATTAAGGTGTGTGTCTCATCTCGTCAAAAGACTTTAGTTTGTTTTGTTGCCAAATTAGGACTCTTCACAATAGGTGTTTGTCACTGCAGGGAGAGCTTTATGTCAGGCTTCAAAGGCACTGAGTTGTCCTCATAACCACTGGACAGCATCACTCTTCACATTTTCTTTCTTTTTAAGAAAAAAAAATCCCTTCTTCCAGAAATTTTCAAAATTTATCAAAAGTTACAAAGGTAACAACAAAAGTGGAGGGAATGGTATAATGTTGTGTACCTATCACCCAGCTCCAACAGTTATCAACAGTTTCCCATCTTTATTTCAAATATCCACTCTCCCACTTTTTTCCCTGGAATATTTTAAATTCCCAAGCATTATTTCATTTGAAGATATCTAACAGATAAGAAACATAACCGCTATACCATTATCACACCCAACAAAATTAGCAATATGTCTTTATGATCATCTACAGGCTATATTCAGTTTTCTTCAGTTGTCTAAAGTATGTCATTTCATAGTTGATTTGTTTGAATCGAATAGAAACAGGGTCCACATGGTGCATTTGATTGATGTGCCTTTGACGTCTCTTTTAATCTTGAACGGTTGCATCTCTGTTTTGGTTTTTTCGTGCCATGTTTTTGTTGAAGAAAGTGGGTCATTTACCCTGCAGGATTGCCCACATTCTAGATTTGGCTGATTGTAAGCTTATAGTCACTCCTATGTCCTTGTGTTTTCCTGTGAACTTGTCATTATATCTAGAGGCTGGATGAGATTCAACTTTGATTTTCTTTTTGGCAAGCATCTTTCATAGGTGGTACTACTGCAACACTTCAGCAGCTGTGTGGGTCTGTTTGTCCCACTTTTACTGATGATAACATTATCGGTGGGCTTAGATGGTATCTACCTGATTGGTTCATGATAGGGTTCTCCCATCTTGTTTCCATCTAACAGTTTTAGCATGCATTGACTCAGCCCTCTTCTGAAGGCTACAGACATATCTTGGAAGATCTCTTTTTCAGGAGTGGTCAGCTTGGGTAGCCAGCAGTCATGCTTGGTGGTCAGAGCTGACCTTAACTGGGGTCTTAGAAGCTGAGCATTTATTGAGGCTGACACCTCAGGATTGTAGAGTTCTTGGTTGTTTGTAAAGAGAACAAAATCCCTTTGGCATTTCAAAATTTGTTGTATTGTTTTGTTTGTTTTTATTGTAATAAAAGAGTGATAACATTTATTTACCCTTCTAATCATTTTTAAGGGAACTCTGGTGGCATAGTGCCTAACGCATTTGACTGCTAACCCAAAGTCTGGCGGTTCAAACCCACCACCCACTCCTTGGAAGGAAGGTTGGGCAATCTACTTCCATAGTGATACCACCTCAGAAACCCAAGGAGGAGTCGCTGTGAGTCAGATCTGACTCGACGGCAGTGAATTTTTAATCATTTTTAAGTATACAATCCAGTGACATAAATCACACTCACACTCTTTTGCAGTCATCACCACCATTTGTTTCCAAAACTTGTTTCTCACCCCAAGCATATATTCTTTTACTCATTAAAAACTAACTCCCCATTGCTGGTCCTCAAGCCCATACCCTACTGCCATCAAGTTGATTCTGACTCATATGACACCCATTAGGTTTCCAAGGCTGTAAATCTTTATGGAAGTAGATGCACCTGGTGGGTTTGAACCACTGACCTTCTGGTTAGCAGCCAAATGCCTGATGCACTGTGCCACCAGAGCTCTGGGGCCCCTAGTCTACTTTTTATCTCTGATTCCAACTCATAGTGACCATGGGACGGAGTAGAACTGCCCCATGTGTTTTCTAAGGCTATAATCTTTATGGAAGCAGATTACCACATCTTTCTCCTGTGGGTTCGAGCTGCCAACCTTTTGGTAAGCAGCCAACCACTTAACCATTGCACCACCAGTACTACTCCTATTTTAGATGCTTCATGTAAATTGGATCATAGAATATTTGCCCTTTTGTGTCTACTTCTTTCACTTCATATAATGTTTTCAAGGTTCATCCGTATTGTAGCATATATTAGAATGCCATTCCTTTTTATGGCAAAATAGTATTCAATTGCCCATATATACCATATTTTGCATATCCATTTATCTGTTGACAGACACTTGCATTGTTTCTATGTTTTGACCAATACAAATAATGGTGCAATACACATTGGTGTACAAGTATCTGTTAGACTCCTGGCTTTCAACTCCTTTGGATATATAAATGTAATGAGAATGGATAAATTAAGGAAGCATCCAGTGCAGTGTCCTTCACATTGCAGGGTCTTTATAAATGGTTTCGGTTACTGGGAACAGGGATGGGACACTGTGGCATCATGTAGCAAAAAGAGCACAGGCTTTGGCCTTGTGGTAGATGTGGGTTTGAATCTTCTGGTCTGCCAGTTGTTTGCTGTGTGGCCAAAGACACAATTACCTAACCTCTCTGACCCTCTATAAAATGAGAATTAAACTCATAAGGGATTGTGTAAGACTTTAATTAAGAAGTACGTAAAAATATTTAGTACAGTGTCTGCTATGTAGAAGATCTGTAAGACATGCTGATTATGAAGTTAGTGTGGGTTTAATTGCTTATAAAAACATTGCTGATAGGGAAAACCTGTTCCGTGAAGTTAAGTTGAAGAAGACTGCTTCTAAGCAGTTTAGTAAAGTACAATCATCTACATATTTTCAGTTTCATTACTTGAAGCTCAAACCCAAGCCATTGTTTTCCAAAAAGAGGTCTAAGAGGTGCAGGCATCACACTCACCCAAGCTATTTAGTAAAAATACAAGTTCTTGCCCCACCTTCTGCCAAACTCCTGAATCAGAACCTCTGGGAGTAGAAGCTGAATCTACATTTTTACAAACACTTCCAAAATGTTTAATACAATGAAGTTTGAGAGCTCTAGTTGAGAGTAACCCATAGCATTTATTTGTAGCATTTAAATATGCAAATAGTACCCTGAGGAGTTCTGGATGGTACAGAAAGCTAATGCACTTGGCTGCTAACCAAAAGGTTAGACATTCAAGTCCACCCAGAGGCACCTCAGAAGGCAGACCTGGTGACTTCTAAAAAATCAGCCCCTGAGCTCTGGTAGTGTACTGCCTAAGGCATTTGACTGCTAACCAGATGGCTGGCAGTTCAAACCACCAGCCATTCCTTGGAAGGAAGGTTGGGCAATCTACCTCCATAGTGATACTGCCTCAGAAACCCAAGGAGGAGTCGCTGAGTCAGATCCCCCTCAACAGCAGTGAGTTTGGTTTGGGAGTTTGAAACGCTATGGAGTCCGTTTCTACTTGGACACACGTGGAGATGCCATGAGTCAGAATCGACTTCATGCAACTCGGGTTTGTGTGTGTGTGTGTGTATGTGTGTGTGTTGGGGGGGCCAGGGGTAAGTAGGACTTTCAAAGAAGAAAGAATAACTCATTTAATTTCATATAAGAAAGTTAGAACGCTAGGTTTTTAACATGGACTCAGGGATGACAGTTTTTTTTACAGGGCTGCAAGTCCAAAATGATAAATGTTTGCTTTAAATTCTGTTCAGTTACTTCGAAACCAGAGGTTTCCTGCATCGTTTCATCATGCAGTTGAAACTGTTGTTAATATGCTGATGCCACACATCACTCAGAAGTTTAGAGATAACCCAGAGGCGTCCAAGAATGCAAACCATAGCCTTGCTGGCTTCATCAAGGTGAGTCTCTCAGTGGGGATGATGTCAGTTAAATGACTAAAAGGTTCTTTTTAAGTAGCTCTCTAGCAGAGTGACTAGTATACAGTAGGTGTTCAGTCAATGTTGATTGCATGCTTTCATGCAAAAGGTAAACTTAATTAATAATGAACTTTGATTTGAACCCAACTCTCCAAAATTTTGGGCCTGAAATACAGTACTTACCCATCTGTTTTTTTTCCTCCACAGAGATGTTTCACCTTTATGGACAGGGGCTTTGTTTTTAAGCAAATCAACAACTACATCAGTTGCTTTGCTCCTGGAGATCCAAAGGTAATATGGATGTTACACACTCTTCCTTCTCCTTCTTGTTTATCTTTGGGAATCCACCTGTTTCTCTCTATTAACATACAAAAATATCCTTTCAGTCGCAGAGTCACAACTCACTCCCCTCTGTTGGAGATACTAGTATTCACGTTTGTACTAGTGTGAAATACTAAACCAGGTGCTGTGGAGTCAGTCCTGTCTCACAGTGACCCTGTGTGTGTCACAGTAGTGTCGTAGAGTTTTCAGTGGCTGAGTCTTCAGAAGCAGATCACCTCTTTCTGAGGCATCTCGGGGTAGACTCAAAACTTCCAACAGCTGAGCACCTGGTGATGAACCATTAGCACCACCCAAGGACTCCAGAGTAAGATGCTAGGGACACATTGGTCCCAGAGGAGACATAAACATATCTGTTGATTTTCTTATAAATACCTGAAATAACTTCTCAAGGGCAAAACTAAAAGTATAGGTGTTGTGAATCATAGTTTGTTTAATAAGATAACAGAAGTAACCATGTAGCTTTTCTCTGGTAGAAGTATCTCTGACTCTTCCCTTGGTGGTGGGTTTTTATTATTATTATTATTATTATTTTAATAAACATCTGTCTAATTAATTTTCTTGTTGTTTTGATTCTGTGTCCATAATTATAAGCTGTCTGAAATCTTATACTGAAGCAGGAAGAACATGAATAATAAATACCCTGATAGTCAGTAGAAGACATTGCTTAATTTTGTTCTCAATTTGCACACAAATGCCTGCAACCATTCTGAGATCTTTAAAATGACATAGAGAATGCATTTCCAATAGAGCCAATGAACTAAAGACTGAGAAGTTATTTTAGGGTGCTGAATAAATTCAGTTACCCAGTGAGATATTTAATTTATGACTACGTATTTTTTTTCCTGCAGACTCTTTTTGAATACAAATTTGAATTCCTTCGTGTGGTGTGCAATCATGAGCATTACATTCCTTTGAATTTACCAATGCCATTTGGAAAAGGCCGGGTTCAAAGATACCAAGGTAATCTATCTTTCTTTATATTCATCTTTTCAAAGAGAATGCTATTTATAAGAGAATTGATCCAAACATACAATCGAATCTCTTTTCCATTGATGAGTTAATGTTTTTTCCTCTTAAATTTCCATTTAAAAAGGTACTGATGAAAATGTTAATGAAGAACTTAATTTTCAGCACATTTATCGGACTATAGATTGTGCTAGTATGACTATTATTCGTTGAAAAACTCCTTTGCTTAAACAATAGAAATCCATTTTACTTACTGTAGTTTATTTTTATTTCTACTTTTTTTCCTTATAAATTAGCTTTTCTTTCACCACCTGTGGAGTCAAATGACACTCCTGTAGGTAGGTGTGGAGTATGATGCTGGCTTTCTTGCATTTTTCTCCTTTCAAAAGAATGCAAGTGGTTGCTAAAATGCTTCTTATGTATGCTATTCACTTAGGCATTTCCTATATATTTTGATCAGTGTTTTAACTCATGATAAACTAGTGAATTTGTTTTCACTGTGGCTAAGTCATTGCTATACCATCCCTTAGAGACATCTAGTATGTTTTTTTGGAGTCCCCAGGTCTTCTAGGATGTTTCTTTAAGAAGGAAAAGAAACAAAAACAAAAGCCTTGCTTCACCAAAAGAATTCATTTTTCCCCATTTTCATAGCCCTTGTCCATAATGGTGTCAGTAATCTAAATCACAAGCAACATGGCTTTTTCATAGGCTTTTTGTGTTTGCATGTTGAGTCCTTAAACTGTTCTCTTTTATAAGTTTGAGCTCATAGATTTATTTGTTATCACTGAGTGAATAAAATTACCCATGTTAGTCTATCAGGTCTGACAAGTTATATTTAGTGAGTTTAGTGCCTTGAATTTTCTCAGGATTATTTGTGATCAATGAGAGAAGAAGTGCAGGGATGCCACCAAACTATTAATAATACCTAAATCAACTGCCCTTGGAATTTAGAGGAACGCATGGAATTTAGAGACCTGCTTATCTTCCCCCAAGGCAGACTGCCCCTCCTTTTAAGGAGTGAGAGAGGGTAGATGAGGCCCTAGAGCTGTCAATTCATGCATTCAGCAGATACCTCCCCAGCACCCACTGTGTGTCTCAGCATCCTGTCATGGACAACATAATGCAAATCTCTGGCTATTTTATATAAGGAAAATACAGAGACTGTTAGATAGTGATGAGTGCTAAGGAGAAAAAAAAAAGTAAGGGGATACGAGAAGGGAACTCTATATTGATAGGAATATATTGTATATTAGCTGATGTTTGGAATAGAGTAGCCAGGGGAAGCTTCATTTGAAGATGACTGTTTTGGTTACTTCATGCTACTCTAATAGAAAATACCACACATGGGTGGCTATAATAAACAGGAGTTTATTCTCTTACAGTTTTGGAGGCTGGAAGTCTGAGTTCAAAATGCCAGGCTCTAGGGACTGAGTAAAAGCCTCTTGACCTTGGGCGTAAGCTCTGTCTCTTGCCCCCAGCCCACTAAAGTTGGAGGCTTTCTTCATTCATGCAGCTGCTGGCTGCTGACACTGACAAACCCAAGGCCAACAATTAAAAAAAAGGCACATTCCCAATATTACCAAACAACATGGCAGGTCATTGATTCAAGGCCATTAAGAGTCCCAGGATTGGTAGACAACATGGCAGGCTGCTGAACAATGACTCAGTATATGTAGGATTCAGGTGTCCCAAAAAGCTACAGACCATTCCTAAATCTGCTCCTTACAAACTGGGAGTAGACCGCATCCCTAAAGTAGCTACTCAGCTGCTCACAGTAGATTCCACCATGGAGCTGATTACTAGTTTCATCATGGTGAATCCATGCTACCAGACACTCAAAACCAGGTCCAGCCACGTTGACAAGTAACCTTAATTACCACAATGACTTTGGAAGAACAAGCTAAAGAAAGTGAGGATTGAATGAACCATGTGTATGTCCTGGGCCAATAGAACAGTAAGACATTTAGGCATTATTGGCTCTAACCCCAGCCGCGTCTCTGGTCTCACTCCCCACTAGTCCCTATATTTCAGACACACCTGCTTATTCCTAGCTTTTCAAACATGACTATGCGAGCAGTCTCAGGCCCACTTGTAACAGTCTTCAACCTTAAATAGCCACTTCCCCATGGAATCCTCAAGGAGCTCTGGTAGAATAGTAGTCAAGGCATTAGCTGCTAAACAGAAGCTCAGTGGTTTGAACCCACCATCTGCTTCACAGGAGAAAGATGAGGTCATCTGTTTCTATAAAGATTTGCAGCCTTGGAAACTCAGTGGAGGTCGCCATGAGTTGGAATTGGCTTGAAGGCCCTGAGTTTGAGTTTTTGGTTTGAGGAATCCTCCTCATCTTTCCTTGCCAGTTACTCAAAATCTCCTGAGTTAGGCTCTGTCTCCTTAGTACCCAACTGGCTTAATTGCTCTTTCTCCCTACCCTCTGTATCTCCACCCTGCATTCCCAAGCTCCACCTCCCTTCCTCACCTCACACAGAATTACTGGCCTACTTATATTTGGGAACTTGACTTTCTGTCTTTACCTGTCAAGGTGCAGAGAGCAGCACTTAACACCAAGTGGTTACTCAGTGAAAGATGTATGTTAATGCCTGTTCTTTCCCACTGACTCAGCAGGGTCCAATTACTTATCCTGTAGAAATGGATGAAATAAAAACCCTTCAAGTGCCCTGCAGACTCAGCAGCCACAATTTATACTATCTCTTAGTAATGCCATAAGGTATTGGGTAGCAAGAGAGGCTGCCCTAGGCAAGTGGATACAGGTTACATACTGATAATCAGCCTTCCTAACCTGAAAGGAGGAGCTCTGGTGGCATAGTGCCTAAGGCATTTGACTGCTAACCAGAAGGCTGGAGGTCCAAACCCACTAACCACTCCTTGGAAGGAAGGTTGGGCAATCTACTTGCGTAGATACTGCCTTGGAAACCCAAGGAGGGGTCACTATGAGTTGGGTCTGACTCGACAGCAGTGAGTATATTAACCTGCTAGGAGCCAACCAGTAGCCATGGAATAGATTCTGATGTTTGACATCTCCATGTGTGTCAGAATAGAACTGTGCTCCATAGGATTTTGAGTGGATGATTTTTCAGAAGTAGATCTCCAGGCCTTTCTTCTGAGGCACATCTGGGTGGACTCAAATTTGCAATTTTTTGGTTACCAGCCAAGTGTATTAGCCATTTGTACTACCTGTGGATGGTTAGGCAATCTACTTCCGTGGTGATACCGCCTCAGAAACCCAACGAGGGGTCGCTGTGAGTCGGATCTGACTCGACGGCAGTGAGTTTGGTTTGGTTTTTGGTGGTCTCAGTACTGATAGGAATAAATTGTATTTTTAGCATTCTCCTTTCTCTCTCCCTTCTCAACTGCTTCTCTTTCTATGTACCTCTGGTGCACATGAGTATACATGCACACACATGTGTGCAATTATGCCAATAAGTAGTTTTCTTCTAAACAGTTTATTTTAATTCAAGCTCTGAACTATATTTTGGAAGAACGTGGCTTAATAATCATAAACAATGAACATGACTATTCTGGAAAGAGGAATACTCTTTCCTTTGCTTCTGCTAAAGGATTTAATAGGTCATGGATCAGTATGTTAAATAGCTTTAGAAATAACTAATGTAATATGGGATTAAAGTCAAAGGGGAGGGGTCAGAATTTATGGACATTCCTCTAATAATGGATTCAGCATAGTAATTCAAGTCTTAGCTACAGTTTACTGTATTTCAGCTTCAGAGTCATGTTTAGCAGTTCTTTTTTTATTACTTTTTTTTAACCCTTCCTTAGTAGATTACATGTTTGCTTCTATCTCTTTCTCAGAAGGGGTTTCCCTTTTGTCATTTAGTTTGTTGACGATTCACTAGTTTAGTGTGGTGCTTTGAACATTTTAGTTTTATCATATATTGTTTTTTTCATTTGCTTTTAGAGGTGCAGTAGTATTAAGACTATATTTTAGAAAATACTGCATTAAAAAAGTTCTTCACTCATAGGAGCTGAATAAATAGGTTATATGATATGTTGTTTTAAACATACTGAATTTTGACAGGATTATATAGCCATTAATGACCAGTAAATGGATAAATAAACTTCTGCAGTAAAAACATGCTAATAGACTTTGTGCATTTATTCTCTTTAATTACATGGTTGTTACACAGAAATTACTCCTCTCTAATTCTATTAATTGAAACAATAACTTTTTAACAAAGTCAACAATAAATTACATTAGTAATTAACATTTGCTGCTCTTGGTTATGGAAATCGGTGCTAAAACTATTCATCAAATTAATAATTAGTAAGATGCGATATATTCCAAAACCACAAGGCAATGTGATTACTTGTATTTGAATTATTTTAATTTTTGAGTTAGACATGTTATGAAGTAGAGCAGTTCTCTAGATAACCAACCTGTCATATATGAAGCCAAATCTAATCATCTGTTGGGACATTCAGGTTGAGAAGAATTTTGGTTTTTACTCAGTGTTCACCTCCTTTCTAATGAAGATAGTCTCTGTCTTTATTTCAGATCTCCAGCTTGATTACGCATTAACAGATGAGTTCTGCAGAAACCACTTCTTGGTGGGACTGTTGCTGAGAGAGGTGGGGACTGCTCTCCAGGAGTTTCGAGAAGTCCGTCTGATTGCCATCAGTGTGCTCAAGAACCTGCTGATAAAGCATTCTTTTGATGACAGATATGCTTCAAGGGTGAGTGGTCTCCTATGGAAAGAAATATGGATTAAGAAACATCCTTCATTTTAGGGAATATATGGAAAATAACCAATCGGAAAATTAGTGGTAGAACACTAAGACTTTTCTGCATGTAAGCAATAAAATCAAATATCCATCTTCGTAAGAAGGATCCAAATAAAGGAGAAGGCCAGTGACAACTCAGGCTGTCATTAAATGCTCATGGTTATGAGAAAAACTTGCAAATTGTGTCTCTGTTTCAGAGCCATCAAGCAAGGATAGCCACTCTCTACCTACCTCTGTTTGGTCTGCTTATTGAGAACGTCCAGCGGATCAATGTGAGGGACGTGTCACCCTTCCCTGTGAACCCCAGCAGTGTACGTAAGCATATTCACATACACACACCCCACCTTTTTATTTTTGCCAGTAAAGTCACAATAATCTCTGTAGTGTTCTTGGTAAGTTGTACTTTTGGCTCAGCTGGGGTCAATCAGGAAACCTGTGCAAACTCTTGCTAAAAACTTCATGCTCCCTGATGACCCAGTATCTTGTAAGATCTCAGCATCTTTATTTGTGTGCATTCAACAAAAGCTTATGGTAGTGATTAGACAAAGATACAGGGTAGTGAAGAAGACCATAGCCCGAACCTGTCTGTTATGAAAGCTCAGTTCTCCTCCCTGTTCTGATGGTAATATGCGAAGCAGTCTTAAACAAGCCACCCTCTTTGGGCCATAGTTTCTCTCCATTTGTAAACTTACTAAGTCTACCTTGTCATGGATACCTGAGTGAGTGACATGAGGCCTCACCCTCCAAAAATGACCACCTTAATTGGTAATTGTCTTTGAGCAGGTATTTAAAGATGGCATTGGAAATTAAGCTGCCTGAAGGATGACCTCAGGAATTATCTCAAAAGTTTTTGGTTGGAAGCTGTTTCATGTTTTACTCAGTCCTTGATTCGTGTTGATTTATGTTGTGCCTTGAAAAGAATTCTCACTACCATCTTAAAATTCAACTTTTTCAAAGCATTGTCACTGGCGATTACTGTGTCAGATATGAATTGTATGAGGCTTTTTAATTATTGAACTATATTTTTAATTATTGAAGTTTGTAGAAGTTTTGCAAAACTAAAACCCACATTCTTTGTTTTCCTAAAGCTCTTTTTCTTTGCCTTGGAGGGCTTATTCTGCCTTTCATTTGGACAGATGTTACCACTTCAGTAATTTCCTTTCCCCTTTATTCTGCTTCACTTGTTGACTTTGCTGCTTTGTCGTCATGTTGTATACTTGGGGAGTTTCCATGCATGTTTCTGTCTCTTTCCCCCAACAATTGTACACTGTCCCATTTTTCGTAATAGCTCTCCACCTCTGAATACCCTTCCCAGGTAATGTGACACTTGTTGTTGTTGTTATGTGCCGTTGAGTCGGACCCGACTCATAGCTACCCCTCCTTGGGTTCCGAGGCAGTATCACTATGGAAGTAGGTTGCCCAATCTTCCTTCCGAGGAGTGGTTGGTGTGTTTGAACCGCCAGCCTTCTGGTTAGCAGTCAAGTGTCTTAGGTACTATGCTACCAGAGCTCCTCTAGGTGAGTCATATTCATAGAATGTTCCCTGAAGTTCTGAAGGGCATAAACTTCTTTTATCCTGAAATGAAATGCACCTCACTGTTCCTACCCTGGAGTCCCTGGGAGTACGGATGGTTAACACTTGGCTGCTAACTAAAAGATTGGAGCTTCAAGTCCACCCAAAGGCACATAGGAAGAAAAGCCTGGCAGTTTACTTCTGAAAATCATCCATTGAAACCCTTCAAAACAATACTGCCCTGACACACACAGGGTCACAATGAATTGGACTTGACTAAATGACAACTGGGAGCTCTGGTAGCATAGTGCCTAAGGCACTTGACTGCTAACTAGAAGGCTGGCAGTTCAAACCCACCAGCCACTCCTCGGAAGGAAGATGGGGCAATCTACTTCCGTAGTGATACTGCCTTGGCAACCCAAGGAGGGGTCGCTATGAGTCGGGTCCGACTCAACGGCACATAACAACAACAACAAATGTCAACTAGCTGATCTTACCCTATGCAACATTGTATTTCACACTTGTATTCTCTAAACTTGTCTGCCTTTCTAACTGGAACTAGTAGTTCTGAGCACAGTGTGACCTCTCTACTGTTTCAGTTCTGGAAAAAAATGAGTGCAAGGTCCTTCTTTGGCTTTCACTAAAGTAAAATCAGTACAAAGTCATATCCTTGTTTTGACATGTCAAATTTTGATTGGGACCATGTATGAAGCTTCAGAGAGTTTTAATTCCTGCTATTATAATTCACTCTTGCTCATTTGGGAGGATTCTGAAGTGAGAAAACAATCAAAGTCCCAGTAAGAAAGAGAATGCCAGGCATTTTCTGAAGGAAAAAAAAATACTGAAATAATTGAAATAATCTAAACTTCTAGAAAAGATGCAAAATTGCTGGGGAAAGAAAAACAGTGACTTTATGGAAGAAGATTTCAAATATTCTGTGCCTTCTTCCCTCCTTGCCCTGCTCTGATCCATCCGCCATGTTCCCTCCCCATACACGACCGTGTGGCTGCTACTCCCACTCAGGCACACTTAGCGTGTCAAGTTGTTATCTGGCTTGTACTAACACTTGCCTTCTCACTTCCAAGAACAGTTGCTGAATCTTTTTGAATCATCTTTGATTAGTTCTGCTTTTTCCCTCTTTGACAGACTGTGAAGGATGAATCACTTAATTTGCCAGCTGTGAATCCATTAGTGACACCGCAGAAGTCGGGTAACACATTGGATAACAACCTGCACAAAGACCTCTTTGGTGCTATCTCTGGCATTGGTAATGAATCTTACCTACTTTTTCCCAGGTTAACTCAAAACGTGTCTTTAATCAAATATTTGCCTAAAGTCCCTAACTTGTGAGTTAGGATTTTAAAGCATGAGTTTCTGCTTTGAATATTCTTTCTTTTTTTGTGATACTTAAAAATGACTGAAATTCTTCAAACTACTCTAAAATAGAGATTCCAAAATCCTAGTGAATACCAAATGCAGTACAGTTAATGGCTTATTTGTACTGTTTGCTTTTTATTTAACTCTTACTAAGTTAATTTATCATTTAAATCTCTAAATTGGATTGTTTATGCTTTTACAAAAGGAGTATCTTTGCAGGGAAGACAGAAAAGTGGGGCTAGAGAGGGGGTTTATTGGTGGTAGTAGTGATGGAGATGAAACATGAGAGAAGGTCTGTTGGTAGAGTCCAATCCTAAAATCAGTTTGTTGGTTGTTTTTTTTTTTTAAATCTCATTTCCTAGAGTATTTTTTACTGTCTGAAATAATATAAGAGCTTTCCCTTGGGGAGGAAAACAGATGGTGTAAATGAAAACTGCAACTGAGTAGTTTCTCCAGAAGAAAATGCCAGAGAAGTGTACCTATTAGTGTTTCGACTAATTGAGCCTCTGCACAAGCTCCTTTGTACCAAAAAACAAACAAACAAACAAAAAAAAACTTCACAGAATTGTCATAAATGTTCCCAGGTGTCTTCTGTTTTTATTTTTCACTCTTTACCAATCATTGAAGAAATAAGCATCCTACTATGCCTAGAAGGAGCTCTGGTAGCATAGTGTCTAAGGCACTTGACTGCTAACCAGAAGGCTGGCAGTTCAAATCCACCAGCCATTCCTCAGAAGGAAGGTTGGGCAATCCT